TGTTCTGTATTCTTTTTTTTTCTTTTTTTTCTGTTTTGGTGGTATCAAGGCTTGAGCATAGGGCCTTCTGCATGCTTGTTCTGCATTCTTTTATATTGTCCAAATCAGCTCTGCCCAAAGGAAACATAATGCATAACACTATGTAATTTAAATTTTTACTAGCTACATCTTAAAAAGAAAAATAGGTTAAATTGTTTCTATAATTTATTTTATTTATCTTACTATCTATAAAATATCATCTGAGTGTAATCAACATAAACTGTTAATGAATTTTTCTTTCTTTTTTACACTGAATTTAGAAATCAGCATGCATTATATGCTTACAGAACACTTCAATTCCAATGAGCCACATCTCAAGGCTCCACCATGGTCTTGGGGTCAGTGGCCGCTCTGACTCTCAAATCTAAACCTTCACCAAAGGACACACCTGCATGTCACATGAGAAATATGGAAATTCAGTATTAGGGAAATGAATACAAGTAGCATTATCCTCCCCCAAACCATCAAATCAACAAAAGTATGCTTCGGCTACTTTGTGTATTTGCATGCAGCTACTAAAAGGGTTGACTAGTCCCTTATAACAGAACACGCATCCCTTGGGTACTTTTAAAAGACTTAAGGTACAATATGTCCCAGAATGATCTCAAAGCCTCAGGGTTGGGGGCCAGGGACATAGCTCAGGGGCATAGCACCACAGAGATGAGGGGAAGAGATGAGGGGACTCTTTGGGGTGAGAGGGGAGGGATGGCGAGGAAGGAAATCTTTTACATGCTGCTGTGTTATTTAATTGTATTTGTGTTTGTTTAGTTTTATCAAAGGAAAACCACAGTGCTCAGTCTCTCTCTGTCTCTTTTGTCTGTCTCTGTCTCTGTCTGTCTGTGTGTCTGTTTCTCTCTCTCTCCCTCTTTGACTCCACACACACACACAAGAAAGACAGCAGTGCCTGGGCTCAGGGGTCCTGGAGGCATCTCTGAACTCGAGGCCACAGAGGCCATGGTCACTGTATGAGGTCACGTTTGCTGCAGCTGCCCAGTCCCCTAAGTCATGCCACCCAGGATCGGGGCTCCTTTGAAGCAACAGGCACCTACAAAATTCAGAGAAACCTGAAGATGAGTGAAGAGCAGAGTTGGAAGAGCATGAGCAGCAGCACAGAAAGGGATGTACACAGAGGCTCAATCCCCGGACAGGAGGAGTGGCTCTGCTCTCACCTGGCTGCAATACCAGGTGACCTTGACCGTGTCCACGCGCCACTCCACCTGTCCATCTTCAGTTTGGAGTGTATGGCGCTAGGAGGGAATCCAGGGCTTTACCTACACTGAGCAAGCACTTTACCACTGAGCTATACCCTGGCCCATGCAGTCTCCATCTTGCCATCTGAAAATTAAAGCAGCTCCGGGAAAGGCTGGAACTTGAGATGTGAGAACACAGAGACTGCTGTCCTCCACAGAGAGGCCACAGGTGGGTGCTTTGATGATGGAGCCGGCTGAGGACCTGGCCAGCTGCAACCTCGAGGGAGCCCACAAGGTGATCCAGCGCCAGCCTCCTCTGACAGCCAGTACCTGAGACCTGAGTCCACTGAAGAGAAGTGGAATGGAAGACACAAACATCTACTTATGAAGGGAGACGAATACCTCTTTCCCTCTCACAGCAGAAATGAAAAAGGTCAGGGGTTCCAGTGTACCCTAAAGGCTCCTTTGGCTTTCTTGGTTGTGTTCTGAGTACTGGCCCGACCCGAAGGAGGTCCCCACCTTCCACCTGTGAGGACAGGAAGACACTGGGCAAGGCAAGGTGACTGACTGTGCTGAAGGCTGCTTCGCCGAGGGCCATGTCCCACAGGAAGTCTCTGGTGACAGCAGAGCTGATGTGGAAGGAATGCTGGTGAGGCTGAGAAAGAAAGGGAAAGAAAGAGGCTACGGAGCTAAGGCTGATGAAGAAGAAGGTTGAAGCTTTTTTTTCCTTTTCCATGGAGCACTTAAGCTCCCTGGACATGGCTCACTCCTCTGAAAGGTAAAGCTGTGTAAGAGTTGCTTGTAACCTACATAGTGTCTCTTTTTGTATTATTAAAGGAATTATCAAGTAATTCTTTAGAGAACCCTGTCCTCACAGGGCTATAAGTCAGCATGGGCATTTCCAGCAGGCCCGAGCCTACATAGCATACAGATGAATTATATATGAAGGTAGTCGTGTTTTCATCCTCAGCCGTCTGTCATACAAGTCTGCAGTATAAATGAAATATTTATACCATACACTGAATACACCTTTGTAATGGAAAAATGGAGCTGTTTGTGTGAACATTCTGAATGCTTCTAAATAATATAATTTTTATTGGTTTTATTAAAAAAACCTATTACAGCATTGCAATGAGAAGCAAACAAAATGTTCACAAAAGCCCCTTATAAAATACAAAAGCCTTCACAAGTGTGAAGCAACACTCTTAATCAGCTGCACTGTGTGGAAGTAGGGCCCGGTGTGGGATTCAATCATTCACTTAATAATCATTTCTGAGTCTCACTCTAGCACAGGATATTGCTCTGAGCAGAACAATAAAAGCCTTGCCCTAGTGGAGCCCACAGGCTGGTGAAGGAGACACAGTGACACAGGCAGATGCACAAACTGTGGAAAGGAGCAGGAAGCGCAGAGGAGAGTAGACCCAGGGCAGGGAGATGGAGCTGGCGCAGGGACAGGCATCAGCTGCAGTGGTCAGAGAACACCAGCTGGGCAGGAGCTGGGGCAGGGGCTCAGTCACGCGCAAGAGGGACTGCTCTGCACAGGCCCTGAGGTGGGGTGATCTTGGGTCACAGGAGGGACTTGTGTGGCTGGGGCAGTGGAAACTCTAAAGGCAGGGCAGGGATGACATCAAAGAAATGGCCGATGACCACATCGCAATGCACAAGAGGCTTGGATTTCACCCTAGGCCTGGTGGGAAGCCTTTGGAGGGTTTTGGAGGGACGGTGACAGGAGTTGTAATGTAAATGAACCTCATGTGCTATTGTGGGGAGAAAAGCCTAGGAGGGCAGGGGAAGGAAAAAGGCAAATAGTGGCAGGGGCTCTGACTTGGGCTGGCAGGATGGTGGGAAGGAACAAAGCCAAGGAGTCAGGACAGAGTGATGTGTTGAACACCAGACACAAGAGGACACCCAGGGTTTGGCCGAAGTCACATGGGGAATGGCGGCTGTTTCTGGGAGGGGGAGCACCAGAGGACACTAGCTTAGTGTTGTGCACACTAAGCCAGCCCCACAGAAATGTCAGAGTGGACATTCGGATCGAGCTGGCTGCCCTGGGGGTTCTAGAAATCCTTGGCCATCTGTGTGCGTACCCAAGGCCCCTTGGGCAGTCCTATGACCTGCAGACCCCTCTCCAGAACACACGTTGTATAGGAGACTGCCTTAATGCAGTGGTAATTTCCAGGTACACCATCAGGACAGCTGTCCTAGATTTACAAAAGAGAAAGCCTCACACACCAAATCACAAAGCTTGAATTGCAGGGTTTATTAAATTAGTTTGAAACACCTGATTTACCTACCACCTGCTGCAGTAGATAAGGTACAGGCAAGGGAGAAGGACCGCATCACAGAACCCAGGAGAGAACATGCACAGGTTCTTCCTCTTCAGCACCCTCCTGTCTGTCTGATGGTGGGGTTAGACGACCAGGGCTGGGATGCTTCACTCTACTCAGCAGAGGGTGGCGGAGTCAGCTCACATCTGCCATGTCACACACACAGGACACAGTTCAGCCGGATGTAGAGTTTATACGAATCTTATGAGCAGAGCACACAGGCACCAGAATAGGACTGATGGGGGGGGTGACGTTGTTGTTTGGCTTCTACCTAGATGTTCCCCCAAAGCCTCATGGGGTCATAGGTGGGGAGCTTCAACGGTGGCTGGATTAGGGTGTGTGGATGTGGATTAAGGGTGTGATGCTGGAATTAAGGAGGTGAATGATGAAAGCCCCACCCTGGGTGTGGCTGACACCAATCAATAGGCTCACAACCTGGGTGGAATGTAAAGGGGGAGAGGGAAGGCAGGCTGCTTGCTGCTGCTGCCGCTTGCTACCTCTTGTCTTCCACCTGTGAACTGCTGTTGCTCCTCTGTGATGCCCCCTCCTGCCTTGGAGCCAGCTGCCTATGGACAGAAACCTCTACACACTATGAGCTGAAATAAACCCTTCCTCTTTTAACTTTGGATGTCAGGGATTTTTTTTTTTTTTTTTTTTGGTATTTTTGAGACAGGGTCTCGCTACACAGTTCAGGCTGGCCTGGATAACTGAGTGCATACATTCACATTACAATACTCCTTTAAATGAATGAAATAGGACTTTAAAAACTGTATCAAAATACAGTTCTACATTAAATAACAAGATTGAGTAGCAGCAAGTCTAATAATTACTACAATGTCAGGCAGTGATGACCTTGACATTTTGAGTTCTCTCCAACAACTGTAAAGTGATAGGAAAACATCCTTGATGAACCAGGTGTGGTAGTGAGCGCCCAAGGACCGGCTTCTGGAGAAGCTGAGGCAGGAGCATCGTCTGAGCTCAGGAGCTGGGAGACCAGCTTCGGCATGAAAAGAAATCCTAGTCTCAAAAAAACAAATGTGGCATGACCATTGCTTAACAAAGTCCCAGATACTATTCCTGGGATTTGCATTCATGCATTAAAATTCCTCACGAAGGAAACGACCGGCTTCCCTCGGTCTCTGGAACGCGGCCTGGGTCTGGAAGGGCCGCTCAGCTGCACGGCCCCACCCACTGGCCCCGTCGCCCGCGGGGCTGCACGGGCCCACAGTGCGCACGCGCAGCCCGCCGCCCCGGCCACACCGC